TAAAAGGGTGGCTGCTTCTTCTCCAGTATGCGGAGGCTAGCTGCCTTAGCTGCTGACGTTCTCTGTGACCCAGACCACGAGTGCTCTTCCTTCAGCCTGGCGTGATCAGCCACACTGGTTTGCATGGCTTGTCTCTGTCCTTTAAGCAGGTCCTGCCTCAAATGTCACCTCCTCTTAATGGAGTTTGCTGACCTCCTCGTCCAGTCACTCTTTATTCCCTTTCCTGCTGAACTTCTAGCTCTTACTATGTCAGCCCAAATTCTGTTATTTGTTTGGTTTTGTTTGTTCACTGCCCACCACTAGGAGAAGTATGTTCCATGACACCAATGGAGATTTTGCCTGCTCAGGACACAAGGTCAGAGCTGCGGGGAGCACCTGCCATGTGTAGATGTCAATCAATAAGTAATGCTCAAATATCTGGCCCTATGCCCCCTCCCCAGGTCTCCACTCCCTCCTCCTCTGACAGTGGGGACATGGTTTGTCCAGGTGCGATGTTGGACTCTGTGACATCTATCGAATGGACTTGTAGTTCTGGAATAAATAAACGAGGAAGCAGAGATTCTTTGCAGAAGTCTTTGCTATGAAACGGAGGACCCCAAACCTCAGTGGTTGGAAATAGCCTTATGTGCTCAGATTCAGTGGGTCCGGGATGGAGACGGGGCTCTTCCAGGTGCTTCTCCTGCTCCACCGAGGCTAGATGGCATTATGCACTCAGGGAGTTCACACCTTCCAGGGCTGGACCAGCAGCCCACAAAGGCCTCAGTGATCTTCCACTGAGTCCCCCTCTTTCCACTTAGACAGCCTGGACATCCTCGTAGCACGTAACCCCAGAGGCACCAGTTTTATATGTAGCAACTGGCTTCCAAGAAGGATGACGACCCTAGCACGTAGAAGCAGGAGTCACAGACTCACTGTTCAGTCAAGGAAGTTTACACAACATACCTTCTGCCCTACATTAAGACTAGCCATTGAGGAGTCCTAGGCTCAGGAGTAGAGAAATAGACTCCATATTCTAATGGACAGAGCAGCAAAGAGTTGGCAGCTAAATATCTTGCACTCCAGGAACCAATCTCTTCCCAGGTCCCACTGGAAGGACTCAGTGCCACTAATTTGAGGATCACAACCCCACGAAGGCTAACAAGGATAGTTTCCTAACAAATGAATGCTAAGATAAAATGGGGAAGAACTCAGCCCAACTCAGAGAATGTCATTACATGACTTATAAAAAAAAATGCTAAAATACACTCCTTGTGGTAACAGTGTCCTAGGGACACTTCGCTTAGACAAGGGAGTGAAAGAATGCCTCATAAGGCCAAAGAGGATCCTGGATCCTAGAACAACTGCCCCCAGGGAAGACAGCTTGAGGACTAACTGTGGAGTTTTTGGATGGCCTTTCAAGGTCTACTCACTAACTGTAGAGTCTGTGGATGGCCTCAAGAGGCCTGACCACAACCACTACTCAGCACTCAAGGTCTCTGTTTTTCCAGATTCCAAACTGCTTCTCAGAACAGGGAATCCCCGGCCATCATTCACTAGCAGGATGGGAAGGACTTGCCAAGGGGAAGGAGGAGGCTGGAGTGGAGACCAGAGTTCCAGGGAGGGGAAGAACACGTGTGAATGTCCTGTAGAAGACAGAGCAGGGCTAAGGGTGAATGCAATGGTTCCTGTGTGTCGGGGGGGGGGGGTCCCCAGGGTGCAGGGCAGAGGGGTCGGGGAGAGCAAGCAAAGTGAGGCAGGCATCAGTGACATAAAGGCCATAACCAACCTTGTCTCAGGGAGAACAGCCACAGACATGAGGTCTTTCCAGGCAGGATTGCTTTCCCGTCACTCTGCCTTTCTTGCCCCTTGAAATTCCTTCTGGTCCTGCTCAGCTCCCAGGATCCTTCTTCAGGACCGCCCCCCAACAAAGTCCCTGCAAGCTCCTTCCCCTCCAGAGCCTGAGTCCTGATTCCTGTGCCTCCCACACAGCAGGCAGCATGGGCCGTGTCTGTAGGAGAACATGAGCCTGCTCTTACCCACTGCGAGCTCTCAGATGCCCTATGGGGGGAATGCAGGCAAACTGCTGCAGAAGGCTCCTCCTCCGTGACCCACTGACTACCCCCGACCCCAGCGCAGACAAGCCTCTGCTCAGAGAAAGGGGCTTCTGCAGGGTGGGAAGAGTTGTGCCTCTCAGAGCCCAGCCTCGGCAACTTCTGTCTCTCTGTGTAGGAAGGGATGTTTGGCTAGGACCGTGCTTAGGTATTGTCAGAAGAGAAGAGGGGGCCGACGAGATGGCTCCGTGGGTAAAGGTGCCTGTTGTGTAAGCGTGATCACCTGAGTTTGATCCTGGAACCCACATAAGAGTAGATGGAGTGAACCAACTCCATGAAGATGTCCTGTGACCGCCACATTTCATGGGACCCACGCACATACATCACAGACACTCATACCACACACAATAGTTCAATAAATTTAATTTTTTAAAAAAATAAGTAGAACAGAGGGTAAGTTCCAGGATCACCTGAGGGTGCGAGAGCGCACTGCCCTATGATGGGCAGAGGAGCTCCCTCTGGTGGTGGGTTGTAAAATTTCAGGGACCGATCCCAAGAGTTTGCTCTGAGGTAGATGGTCCTCAAGACCCACAAAGGGAGCTCCTTTAGTGCAGATTTCCAGATCACCCATTGCCCACCCCAATCAGGCCAAGAGACTTGGGGAAAGCTTGTGGTTCCTCCCTCTAATGGAAGACTCCAGGGCCACACTTTGAAGAAAGCTTGTTTTGGGCAAGAGACTGCTGGATCCTTCAAGCTCCCAGCTGCCCCCAAAGCCCCAGGACTAGAAGTGCAGCAGAGTCCAGGCATCAGCTCTGACACTGGGAACAGCAGCCCCCTCCAGGACCTCATCTCACCACTGAGCAGCCCATCCTGGCACAATGCCCCTACAAGGGACAGAAATGGGTTGTGGGGCCCTTGCAACTCATGGCCAGCCTGGACTCCTGGGCATATGGCTCCTCCCTCTGCTTGACCAACAGCCCTTCCTCCACCATTTGGTCCATGGCTCCATGAAAAATCCAAGGCTCTTCCATCAACTGCCTCCCCCACAGGGACAACATGAATGGCATGGTGGAACACGTCTATAATCCCAATACTCGGGAGGCTGAGATAGGAGGATTGCCCAGAACTTTAGGCCAGCCTGGGATAATAGTATCAGGCCAGACATGAATATATAGCAAGACTTTGTCTCAAAAAGCCAAGGGGTTAGAGGGCAAAGGGAGAATGTTCCCCAATGGTCAGACCTTGTGCACATCTCAGGAATGTCCAGAACTCTCTTGAGATTGCCTAAGAGGCCCATGCCCGGAGGAGCTTGTAGACACTGATCCAGCCACATTTGCACATTTGGGGGTAAGAAAAATGTACCACATGTCTTGAGTAAACGATGGCATCATTCACACTCAGGTGGCACTAATATTTCTCGGTGGCCATTCTAAGCACTTAAAGGATGCAGGTTTCCTGACTCCTCATGGCTTAGGGACTCACCGTTCACATACGAGGAAGCCAAGGCAGAGTAACTTAACCATTGCCCTGCAGCCTGGCTGTCCCTCACTGCTGAGGACATGAGGGAAAGGACACCCCATGAACCTGTGTGGACTCAGCACATTGACAATGCTACTCCATGTCCTCCTGCCAGCCTTTCCCAGTGCTCTGACTGTCCCTAACTTGACAGCTGAGGAAACAAGACATTACAGACAGGCAGAGTGACTGGCTCTAAGTGATTTGGCTCGGGGGTGGCGGAGCTTGTCTGATTCCAAAGCCTGACCTATGTCCTAGCACACCAGGGGTAGGTGCCAGGAACCAAAAGGCTGTCACGGTGTGCTCACAGTGGGGACAAGCTGCCTGTCTGAGGAAAGAAGTGACAGATGCCAAGGAAGAGCTGGCTCCAATCTCAGGGCGAGGAGAAGGGCCTGACTGGCATCTTCCTGGCATCTTCCCTGGCTTTGGTAGCTCCACATGTCTGCAGGAATAAGACAAGCCCTCCTAGAGAGAGATGGAGAGATGAGAGATGGGAGAGACTTCAAGGGACACGGCTTTCAGGTTCCCTTTGTCCCAGTGTTCACATGGCTGGACCCTAGCTGCTGGCCCAGAGCTATACTTGATTTGTTCCATCATCCATTCCTCTGCTAATTTTAGGGACCCCAGCCCTATCCTGGAGCTTGATGTGTGGATTCCATTTGAGTCAAAGAGCTCTGCACCCGGTAGCATGTTCAGAAAGTCTGGAGGAAAATCTGAATGGCTATTTCCTCTCAGGACACTGAGGGTGATGCCTGCCCCCTGTGTCATTCCTCAAATGGCCTGAGCAACAGCTGCCCCAGAAGGTTCCAGCATGCAGAGGCTTGCTGACTCCTGGAAAGAGAATATTCAAGTCCAGAGTTAAGAAGCTGGGTTCTTGGTCCAGGAGGGGTCTGGTCCCATCCCACCCCATCACTGTACTGAATGCACTGTCCTTAGAGTCCCGTATGTGACATCTCAGGGGTTCCAGCCTCAGAAATTACACAGTCTAGGGCTGTAAACTTGGAGGCCCTGGGCAGGGTTTGGCTTGTAGTTGGTAGCATCTAGCCTGTGAGAACTAGCTCGCTCCGGTTCCATATGCCCACCGTGCCGTCCTGAAAACTTCCTCACTTGGCTCATGAGGGCACCAATGTTTGCTGCCCTTGCTCTGGTTCAACCCTTCATTTTGAGGTGGGAGGCAATCAGCTGAAGCCCAGAGAAAGAGCTGGTGAGTTTACATTCACACAGTTCATGAGAGGCTAGGCAGAGACTACAACTGCCCCAGGTTTCCCCTGGGAAAAGTCCATGTGCTGTGCAGGCTTAAGAAGGTAACAGCATCCTGGATTCCCCTGGGAGGGGAGAGAGGCACTGTCTTGCTCACTTCCGGTGAAGTTTCTCGGTGTGGAGACTGCTCTGTACCATGGATCTGTTCATTAATCATTAGCTCATTTGGAGGCAGCAGGTGGGGATCAGAGGGCTTTATTTTCCCCTTCTCCTGGGCTTGATAAGCCATTCTGCAGCCCAGACAGCCACCGAGGGCCACGACAGGACAGGCCGTTCTGTGAGTAAACCAGGGAAAATGGGGTGACCCACCATCCTGGTTTTCCCCAAGCTAGAAGCTCTCCTGGGTCATCGGATTTCAGTGCTAAAGCTAGGGTAGTCTGGGGCACACTGAGTAGGTCATCTTCCCTACATACTCTGAGGAATACAGAGGCTAGGAGAAGCCTGGTGTACCTGTGCTCAGTGCCCCTGCAGGGCCACTGGCACTCAAACTCCAAAAGCCCCCACTGGAGGGGCAGTATCAACCAAGCCCAGGTCTTCCAAGGCTCCCAGGTTAGGTGCTTGCTGGCATGTCAGAGGGGAGTTCTGGGCAGTTCACTTAAAGTCACAGAGGACTATGAGGTGCTAGGTGGAGGTCTAGGAAATTATGTGGGAAGCGGGGTGGTTTTAGAAGGCTATGTGGGGAAGGGGGGGTCCAGGAAGCCATGTGTGGGAGAGGGGATTCTAGAAAGCTATGTGGGCAAGAGAGTTCCAGAGAGCTATGTGAGGTGGGGGTTCTAGGAAGTTATGTGGAGGGAAAGTTCTAGGAAGCTATGTGGGGAAGCTGGGAGGCGGGGATGGAGTCCCAGGAAGCCATGTGGGGGAGAGGGGATTCTAGAAAGCTATGTGGGCAAGAGGGTTCCAGACAGTTATATGGGGGCAGGGGTTCTAGGAAGTTATGTGGAGGGGAGGTTCTAGGAAGCTATGTGGGGAAGCGGGGGTGGGGGGCTGTTCCAGGAAGCCATGTGGAAGAGGGGTGCTCAGCAGGTGAGTAGAATGGTCCAGGTTTGCTATTAAATTTTCCCTCCAGTTCCAGGGGAATCCGAAGACCTCTTCTGACCTCTGTGGCATTGCACGACACGAGTGCACTCACATACATGCAGACAATACACTCATACACATAAAATAAAAATAATCAATAAAATATTCTTTAAAAAATTTTCCCTCCCATATGAAGAGGAAGCAGAGGAGAAAGACCAGGAAGAGCTACTGTTCTCTATACCAAGATCAGCAGTCATGGGCCTAACGTGGCCCACTGTTTCAAGCTAAGAAGGACAGTTACAAAAATGTCAACACAAAATGTATAAAGTAAACTGAAAATAGAAGTTTAAATGTAAAATATAGACATAAGAAGTATAGATAGTTGAAAAATGTAACTAGACCTGGAGGCACAGGACTGTAATCCCAGCTACTCAGGAGACTGAAGCAGGAGGCCAGCTCCAAGGCCTTCCTGAGAGGGAGTTCAAGGCCAGCCTGGGTAATTTAGTGAGACCTTACCTCAAAATAAAAGGTAGGCAGACAGGTGATTCTTTTACTCCCTTGCCCCCCGTGTTCTGTTCTCACAACATGTTCAATAAGCCTACTTTTTAAAAAAGTGAAAAAAAGGGCTGGAGAGATGGCTCAGCGGTTAGGAACACTGACTGTTCTTGCAGAAGACCCAGGTACAAATCCTAGCATTCACGTGCAGGCTAACAACCCTTCATAACTCCAGTTCCAGGGGATCCGAAGCCCTCTTCTGTCCTCTGTAGGCACTGCATGACACAGGCGCACTTACACACATGCAGGCACAACACTTGTACACATAAAATAAAAATAAAAGTGAAAAAATGACTGGGGATTCTGGAGGTAAAACTCAGAGAGACAGCATTTTCCTAGGAGGCTTGAGGCTCTGGGTTCGATTCCCAGTACCACAAGAAGAAAATAAAATCAATAGACTTTATTTTGTGACACCTAAAAGTTATTTGAATTTCAGATTTCAGAGACCATGCAGAGCCTGGAACATTGAACCTCCTGATAGCTGCTTCCTAGTATCCAGGGCAGAGTGGGTCGTGGCTACAGAAACTGGCTTGCAAAGCCAAGGATGGCAGCAGAAGGCCCTTTGTGCGTAGTTTCTCTGGTCTATCCTGAGGGAAAGCCGTGAAGCCTGGAACAAGGACCCTGGTATACAGGGATGAGTGGTCCAGGAAGGAACTTACGGGATGTGCCCATGAGTGCACAGAAGGCTGGAGATGAGCAGGGTGGCTGCCGAGCGTCTGGTCTAAGAATCCAGCAAGTAGGACTGTTGGATGGAACAAGAGTTGATTCAGTGTAGAAAATCAAGCGGCCGGTCTTGGGCAGGTCGAGTTCTCACCACTGCAACCTGAGAAAGTCATTCACTGAACGTCACTTTTGACTCTGGACCAGATGATAACTGGAAGATTAGTTTTTCCTACTTCTGTCTAGGAGGGACGATCATAAGGCAGTGGAGGAAAGAGGTCTGTAGACTAGGAAGTACAGTGGGATGACCAAACTGGATGCTCCAATAATCTCGGTGTTCACAGCCTCGGTATCCTGTCCCTAGAGTGCTGAGATAAAGTCTCAGGAAAGAACTGCAGGGGAAGCAGGGCCTGGCAGAGCCTAGATATCTGGGCTCAAGCTCACTGGCTAGTTGGTGACTTTTGCAAGTCATGTTTGGACCCTCGCTTTCCTCCTCTCTGAAAAGACAGTAGAATTCAGTCAATCTCACAGCGTTGGCAAATGAAGTGGGTTGGAGACATAGGAGTGCACTTTGCACATCTAAAACTATGCTACCAAATGCTAGTGTTGCCACTATGCAGTAGAGGGGACTGGGCACTCCCTTGCCTCCCACTGATGGAGCTGAGGGTGTGCCTCTGTAATGGGTCTCAATGGGCTCACCCCTGTATGTGCGAAGAGGCAGGAACAGAAGAGAGAAGCAAGGTTTTACTGTGTATGGAGAGCAGCAGAGTGGGCAGTGTGTCTCTGAACACACTGGAGACATTTAAGCATCTTCATGTTGGAAAGACTTGTCACACGTAGAGGGGAACACACTCCAGGCTGAGGCTCAGCTCCAGATCGTATGTTGTATGTTTAAAGATGGCTGACAGGAATGCTTTTTGGGTACAGAATTTAGCTCTGCTGTGAAGTTTATTCTTCTTTCTTTCTTTCTTTCTTTCTTTTCTTTCTTTCTTTCTTTCTTTCTTTCTTTCTTTCTTTCTTTCTTTCTTTCTTTCTTTCTTTCTTTCTTACTTTATGTGTATGAGTGTATTGCCTGCATGTATGTAAGTGGACCCATGCTGTGCAGTGCCCACAGAGGCCAGAAGAGGGTGTTGGATCCTCTGGAACTGGAGTTAAGGACAGTTGATAGCCTCCATGTGGGTGCTGGGAATCAAACCCAGGTCCTCAGCCGGTGCTCTTAACCACTGAACCATCTCTCCAGCCCAGTGAAATTTATTCTGTCAGTAAAAGAGGGGCGGGGCAGCTCTGACTAGTTTAAACCACTCTCTTGAGAGGTTTTAGCAAACACAGGACAAAAACAATTTGAATGGGTATTTGCAGTCACTTAAACTGAACCTCATCACCTCCCAGGCCACACCCACTGCTGTCAGCTCACCAGGGCTCCTGTCTGCTTCTAGAATCTCCAAGACATCTCTTTTCCTCCACAGATCTGAGAGCCCCAGCATGCATTGTGTCCAGTACCTGGCCCTCCTTCTAGCTGGGCTCTTGGCACTTTCTCACAGTTACCCACTTGAAGAGCAGGCCGGGAGGGATGATAGCTTCAATGCCACCTTTGAACGACTTCAGTTCAATGCGTATGACGCCCCCAGCCGAAAGGTCGCCCCCAGCAATATCGACTTTGCCTTCCGCCTCTACCACCTGATAGCATCCCAAAGCTCAGGAAAAAACATCTTCTTCTCCCCAATCAGCATCTCTACCGCCCTGGCCATGCTGTCCTTGGGGGCAGGCGGAGACAGCAGGACTCAGATTCTCAAAAGCCTGGGCTTCAACCTCACAGAGCTCCCACTGCCCATCATCCATGAGGGCTTCCGGTTCACACAACGAGTACTCAGTCTCCCAATTGGTGAGGTGAACACCTATGTCGGCAATGCACTGGTCCTGAGCCAAGATCTGGAGCCACTCCCCGAGTTCACCCGGGATACCAAGGGCTCCTATAACACCGAATTATTACGCACTGACTTCAGAGATGTTGAGGGTACCACCCAGCTCATCAACCACTATGTGAAGGAAAAAACTCATGGGATGATCACAAATTTTGTCAGTGGTGGGCTGAGTCCTGACATCAAGATGGTCCTGCTGAATTACATCTACTTCCAAGGTAAGGTCAGCATGGGGCCAGCCCATGCTTTGTGACTGGGAGGCAGAGGGATAGACTGGAACACATAGCCACCCCCATGTCTACCCATGACCCCATCTTCAGCTTAGACCACTTTTCAATGTCAACTTGTTATTGTATTTATTTATTTATTTGGGAGTGGGGAGAAGGAGGATTCGGAGTGCGTGGGTGGAGGTCAGAGAACAACTTGTGGGAATGGGTTCTGTCCTTTGACCATATGTCTCAGGGATTGGATTCAGATTGGCAAGCTTAGTGGCAAGCACTTTCATTTGCTGAGCCATCTTAGCCCCCAATCTCAGCTTGTAACCAGCTCCAATTTAGAGTCAACAAAGAGCAAAATTCTGGGAAACAGTCCCAGACAATAATTCATGCATATTAGTCACCATATATATGTGTTATATGTGGAACGCTCATGCATCACTGAACCATTTAAAACCAACTTCTTAAGTTGAAGTGAGTGAGGAAGGAAAAAAACACAGTGGTACAGGCTTTGGTGTGGAGGACACGACAGGATGGGTTGGGATCCCGGGACTGATGCGCTGCTGTAGAGACCTCGCTCTGTTCTCTTTGCCTCCTCTTGCCTCACTGTCATCCTCTGGTGTTGCCTCCCTCCTCCCACAGCTTAGCCTCAGCAGCTTTGACTGCAATCACCTCCATGCAAACACCCCCAACCTCACTCTTGAACTTACCTTGCAAAGTTGTATGGCTGGTTAATGTCAGCAGCCCGCTTAGTCCACCTGCAGTTAGATGTGGCTAGAGGACATGACCCAGGACGTTGGCATCTCCTGATGCTTATGAATGTGGCTCTTCACTGGTCACACTACCCAGGCCCACAATGCCCTCACATAAGCACTTGACTTTCCAGATGGGCAGCTCCTTTTCCTGCCTTCCTCGCAGCCCAGTTCCACTTAGTTCTCTTTTCTCCCTCTCGTTTTGAAAGCGGTGGGGTGTGTTAGACAGAAATCTCTCACCTCCTCTCCTCTCTGCACGTATAGCACAAAGCCAGCCTCCTTTCCCCAAGGCAGGGGGCGCTTGCACTCTGCCTTCTCCTCCTTCCTGATCAAGGATTCTGGCTACAAGCTGTAATTTGGAAGTGGATTGAGCCCCACTGCGACCTGGAAGTCTCACAAGCAGCTGTGACCGTGGACAGATATAGAGGTCCCTGATACAGTCTGGCCCTGTCTGCCTCTCAGCTTCTTGTTGCTGGACAAAATGCTTGTCATAAACAAATTTAAAGGGGGAAAGATTTGTTTTGCTCATGGTTTCTGTCCATCGTGGCAGAGAGGACTTGACTGAAAAACTCCCATCGTGGCAGACAGGAAGTGGGGAAGAGGCCAGGGAAAGACACAGCCCCTGAGGACACACCCTCAAGGTCCTACTTCCTCCACCCAGGCCCCTCTTCCACAGCCCACCATGTCCCAACAGTCCAATAGATTTTGAGTCTCAATGATTAAACCACTCATTAGATCAGAGCCCTTGTGACGGAATTGTTCTTGGCAATGTCCTCACAAACACGCCCAGAGGAGCGCTAATACCAGTGATTCTCAGTTGAATCAAACTGCCAATCAAGATTACGCTTCCCAGCAACCATTCCTCCAGTGGTGCAATGGGGGAGCACTGAGGGAGGTCTGCAGTGGCTGTCCTGTGCTTAGGGGCTGCAGGTGGCATTTCCTGCTGAAGGGTTGGCGTCTGTGCCTCCCTTGTACCCTTCAGGTCTGTGGGTGAAACCCTTCCCTTTCTCCGGAGTCGTTGTCCGTGACTTCCATGTGGATGAGAACACCGTTGTGAAGGTGCCCATGATGCTGCAAGATCAACGGGAACACTGGTACATCCATGACAAACGCGTGCCCTGCTCAGTGCTGCGGATGGATTACCGAGGCGAGGCTGTGGCGTTTTTCATCCTTCCTCGTGAAGGCAAGATGAAGGAGGTGGAGCAGGTGCTATCGCCTGGCATGCTGGAAAGGTGGAACCGCTTGCTCCAACACAGGTAATCAGAATGTCACATGATGCCAAATCTACAGAGCCACATGCAAATGGGCCCCCCCTTCAGGAAACCCAGTGCCTGGAATAGGGAGTGCAGTGTGGCCATACTGGCCTGGCTCTGAGACTTCCATGGGTTTCCTTAGACAGCCAACTTTCCTATAGTGCTTTGTCCATGGTCTCATTCTCATCAGTGGAGAGAACCTCTCTAGAATTATTGTCCTGAATTCACTGCGTCAGCCTTAGAGTGACTTTTCCTCTGAGGGTCAACCCTTGTGCAGTGAATATAGAGACCTCCAGGCAGATGGTTGCCTGAGTGGTTGTAGAGGGTTAAGAAAATTCTATTCACCCACCCAAAGAAGTTGCAAGGTATCTCCCATCATTATGGAGCCTTGAGTAGGAAAGTTTCCAATCACATAGAAGAAATAGACCAGGCAGAGGCCCCATGCAGCTGGGAATTCACACCACATTTGGGCAGGAACCCAGCCCATGGAAATCAGCTGATCCAGAACAGAGGCAACCCATAGGACCCCAGAAGAGACAAAGGCAACCTGCCATGGGGGTGGCTGACCCCATCTCCCAAGGTACCTGCACATCCCCAGAATGCAGCCTCTGTGGAGGGGGGGGGGGGCGGGGGGCAGGAATAAGCTGACACCTGGGCTCTGAGTCGCCGTGAGCACTCATCTAAGGTGCTGATGGAATCACAGGTGCTGCTGGTGGCCAAACTCAGGTGGAATAGAGGTAGTCATTTCTCCTCTAAGTAAGACTCAGATCAGGTGGGGCCCCAAGTGCCCCAATAATCTAATGCCCCAGGCTAGGGAGATAGCTGTCATTAGACTGTTTATTTTGCAAGTATGAGGACCTGAGTTCAATCCCCAGAACCCACATTTTAAAAGCTGGGTGTGATGGTGGTAGGCATTTGTAATCCCAGTTCTGGGGAAATCGATACAGGTGGATTCCTTGGGGCCTACTCATCAGCCAGACTAATCTACTTGACAAGTTCCTGGCTAATGAAAGACTCTGTCTCAAAAGAAAAATAGGGGGTGGGTAGCACCTTAGGAATGACATCTGGCCTTCACACGTATGTTGTACACATTTGTGCATAAGCATCCCAATTGTGCATAAGCATCCCACACATACTTGCAGACACACACACACACGCGCACACACACACACACACACACACACACACACACACACACAGACTGTAATGTGTTTCTTGATGCTCCTTCCAGGTACTTTTACAGAACGGTTGAGTTGTATTTGCCCAAGTTCTCCATTTCAAATTCCTATGCATTGGATCAGATTTTGCCGGACCTGGGCTTCCAGGACCTCTTCTCCTCACGGGCTAACTTCTCTGGCATCACCAAACAGGAGAAACTAAAGCTGTCCAAAGTAAGTCATGGAGGGTTGTCAACTGTGGGGAACTTCTGCCCCTTGGAAGTATGTGGATGACATGTGTTCGCCTTGCCACCATGTGGTCTTTCAGAGCCCACATCATCTCAGTCCTCCACAGGCATCAGCATCCGTATGCCAGCCCACCAGGTGCTGGACACAGTCTCAGTGCTGAGACATGATAGACCAATGACCAACCCCTGCCCTCAGATGCCTCTGGGCTGGGTCAGGGGCCTGGTACCAACATGAGTCATGGCCTTAAAGAGTGGAGAACTCACTGCAGAAATAGAAAAGGGGGGGCTGGAGAGATGACTCAGTGGTTAAGACTGACTGCTCTTGCAGAGGACTGGGGTTTGATTCCCAGCACCCACATGGTGGCTAACAACCATCCGTAACTCTAGTTCCGGGGAAATCCGACGCCTTCTTCTGACCTCCATGGGCATTGCACGACATGGGTGCACTTATACACATGCAGACAATACACTCATACACATAAAATAAAATTTAAAAATATAAATAAATAAATAAGATATTTTTTAAAAAGAAAGAAATAGCAAAGGGGTGGGGATGAAACCAGCCGATGACATGGGCACACTGACATGGCACACAGAGGGGCTTGGGACTGATAGCTATCATTACTGTCTACCCGGAGGCTGTGCAGTTCAGTGATCTCCCAGTATGTGACACACCCAACACACGACTTTGCAGCTGGAGGTGAGGTGCTGGCCCCAGCAGTTCCTGGTCCCCCAACTCTGGCCCAGCACTCCCATATTGTCTTGAGATGATGCCTGTGATTTCTCTTTCAGAGTCTCCACAAGGCCACCCTGGAAGTGAATGAAATTGGTACCAAGGCTGCAGCGACCACCAGATCCTTTTTTTCCCTTTATTCTGCACATTATTATAATCGTGTCCTTATGTTTAACCGGCCATTCTTCATTGTGATCTTTTCTACCAGTGCCCAAACCATCATCTTCCTGGGCAAGGTGTTCAACCCCACAGCACCATAGCCCTCTCATGACTAGCTGGTCTGTTACCAGAATGATGTAGCTAGGGAGGGCTGGGTGTGAGCAGCTTTATGTCCGTGGCTTGGAACAGGGAATGGGCCCTGACTCCAGAAAGAAGCCAGTGGCAAGGAAGAAGGATGGGATGAGGTGGGCTGGAAAGTGGGCGAGGCTCTCCTAGGGGCCACACTGATTAAACCAAATGACAGCTCTGAGACCCTGCTGTGTGTGGTGCCTCACATGTAGTAGACACAAATGGGTCCTTTGCTTCTTCCTCCAGGATTTGCCCTGTACTCACGTAGCAAGCATGGTCCCAGATATGGGGTGGGAGGTACTGCAAGTCCCACAGGGCTGTTCAGGTATGTGGGGAAGGGAAGTCAGCTGCCCCAGGGGTTAGTGTTTCATTCTAAAAGAGGGACTGAGAAGGTGTTTGTAGGGAGAATTCCAAGGGAGGCAGCCTGGGCACTGGCCAGATGTTAGGATGCATTACAATGCCTGACAGAAGCAGCCTAAGGAAGGAAAGACTTATTTGGGCTCACTGTTTCAGAGGTTTTGGTCCCTTGTGGCAGGGAAGGCATGGCTCGGTTCATGGTAGTGGAAGTGTGTGCAGGAGGCTGTTCACATCATGATGAACTAGAAAGAGTGAAGCCAGGATTGAATTTAATTTTCAAAAACCCACCCCTTATGACCTTCTTCTACAGGCAGGACACCAACTGTTAAGTGTTCTATAGCCTCCTGAAACAGTGCTACCAGCTAGGGAATAAATATTCAAACGGAAGCCTGTGGAGGACATTTCAGATCCAAACTGTAACATCTGTTGAAAGAAAGGCTCAAGAGAAGCACTCGCCTGTGGCCATGAGCTCTGACCAGTGCTGCTCCCAGCACAGACAGCTGTGACCAGGGACCATGCTACAGGAACAGGAGCAGGGGTTTTTTTGTTTTGTTTTTAATTTTATTTTATGTGGATGAGTGTATTGCCTGCATACATGTAAGTGTACCCACGTTGTGCAATGCCCATGGAGGTCAGAAGAGGACATCAGATTCCCCTGGAACTGGAGTTACAGGCAGTTGCTAGCTGCCATGTGGGTTCTGGGAATTGAACCCAGGTCCTCTGCAAGAGCAGCCAATGCTCTTAACCACTAAGATGTCTCTCCAGCCCCAGGAGCAGGGATTTTATATACTGTTCCTGCTGCTGACATGCTCTGGAACTTCAGGAAAACCCATTTCCCTTTGAGCCTCAGTTTCCCCACCTGAATGATATGCAATGTCCCCTTTGATCTAGCTTAGATCCCTTCAGAATGTAGAGTGAATTCTCAAAGGAGGGACCACTGTAGTATCCAGGAGGGTTTAGTTTTATCTCTGGAGAAGGAGGCAGGCTCGTAGGAAGTGGCTCTGGTTGCAGTAGACATCTTATCTGGGCAGCACCTTGCGACTGTATTGGTAGTCAGTGTGTCTGTATCATGCTGAGTTCCAGCATGGCCTCTCTGACTTCAACAAAACAGTGAGAGCTGGGGACAGTGAAATCAGGAGGGACCCTTCCCCATTTTTTCCTGGATCCAGTTCACCCTCTGCTTTGAGGTTCATGACAAGAACTCCCACAATGCTTTGCAATCAGCCCTCACCCTCTCGCTACAAGCCAGGTGACTCATTTTGCATCCATTTGTTGCACATTCAACCTTATCTGGCAGGCTCAGAGCCCAGCTCTGCTGCTTGGAAGTTGTGTGATCTTGGGAAACTCATTTTAGCTCTTTGGGCCTCAGTATCCTCACCTTTGAAATGGGACACTAACTCTCTGCCTCATAGAATCATGGGGAATATTAAACACTTATATGTGTGAAACCTTAAAATAGTGCTATGTACACATCAGCCCCACTACTCTTTCCATTAGACCCACAGCCCCAGATCACCAGTACTGCCGCCACTGACTCTGAGAGTGAGCCTGTCCCCAACCAACTGCCCCTGGGCACTGCAGACCCTTCTCCTTTGGACACTTTTGCTATTCAAACATGGACACAGCTTTTGGGGGGGACTCTAAACCTGGAAACATTTTGGTGGACTTTCTCTTCCTAATACCAGTCTCTGAAAGGCCTAACTGATCTTCTGGAAGGTTCTAGATTAGCACTCAGCTCTGCAAGCCCTGTAGGTCCAACTGGGACAGAATCTCTTTTCAAAAATGCTCTGATAGGAAGGGTAGGGCTGGTTACTCCAGGAGCAGCTCAAAGAATTTTCCAGACTTCAAGATTGGAGGACGCTGACCACACCCCTTCTGGGGGACTGCTTGGTGTCCAGGGTACCTGGATCCAGTCCTGAAAACTCAGGCCATGACTTAAGAACAGGACCCAAAGGCCCTGACCCTTGGCCATGGCATACAAGATGCCCCATACCACAAAGACAGAATAGTCACTGGTGACCCAGGAGAGCAGGTTGGACATCCCCCTCCAGCTGCCATCCATTCATTACTCAGGATACTCCAGGGACTGTGTTGACATGGCCCTGGCCCCAGCAAGCCACAAAGTCCAGGAATAGACTGGTTGCCTGGAAACCAGAAAAGTAAGATGTGGAGCAAGCTGTAGCCCCTCAGCTCACAACAGAAAAGCATCACCAAGGGAAGGGGAGAAGAAAGGACCAAATGGGTTGCTCCCCCTCCAGCCTCTAAAACAGCCTCAAGTAGGACCCAGGACACCCTCAGGAGAATGCTGACAGAACAGTTCTGTAGGAGGCAATTGCTGAGAGGGATGGCTCTGGGGCTTGGTGGATGTCCCTGCTGCAGGCTACATTCACTAGGACTTGTAAACATTCAGGACCCCAGGGGTCCCATAGGTCGGAGAAGGACATGATTGACTTGAGCTATCCATCCACTTCCCCTGTGCCTGCTGGCAAGTTGGATTTATTCCCTTAAGAAATAAAGTTGAGGGGCTGGAGATGGCTCGGCAGTAAAGAGCACTAGCTGCTCTTGCAGAAGACCTGGGTTCAGTTCCCAGCACCCATGTGGTGGCTAATGACCACTGCTAACTCCAGTTCTGGGGGATCTGATGCCCTCTTCTGGCCTCTGAAGGCACTGCGTCCCAAGGGTGCACTTATATCCAAGCAAGTAAAACATTCATACACATAAAATAAAATATTTTTAAAGGGGAGAGAGCGAGAGTGAGAGAGTTGGGTCTAGGCTAATTTATGCCCCTCTTGGCCCCTACAGACACAGTAGGGTGGGTGGGTAGAAGACAGGCTGAAAGCAGCCAATGTAGGCTCGTTATGGCAATGGCCCAGCCTGGGTGGTGTGTGCACGTGTGAGACCCAATGTGATGAAGGAAAGACGAGGGAACAAGTCACCCTCAAGTCAGCCAGGGTGGTGATGTCTTCTTATGGTGACTGAGCTCATTCCTTCCTTACGTAGAGTCAATAGCTCCCTCACTTACAAGACGAAGTTCAAAGTCCTCTATTGGTGGTCCAGGCCTCCTCTGGTGCTGGCTACCCCCCCCACCTCCTGTATC